GCCCCAATCAAGACGTTCAACCTAGCAAAAATAAGAACGGGGTCCCTCCCGCCAGCGGGGGGCCGAGATCCTCCGCACCTCCATAGGCCAAAGGCCATCGGAGGTGGGGCGGATCTGCGGCGGCGCCGACGGGAGGAGGAAGGAACTTGAAGACTTGAAGGTGTTTGTCACTTGACGATATCTCAACTTGGCGCCGACTATTGTCGGATTGCCCTACCACGTTGAGCTCTCAATATTGAAGTCTTGAATTCAATTCCTTGCTTTAGCACAATTTTTTAGGCTATAAAACTACAACTATGAAAACTGCTAGCGTCAAGGAGAAAAATCATGATTAATGCTCACCTGCCCCATGTCTGTCAATGTTGGACTGTCGTGCCATGTGGCCCCAATTTGCCTGAGTTAACGATGGACTGTCGTGTCATGTGGCCCTAATTTGCCGAGGTAGCTTACAGGAGCTCTTGGCAACGGTGTCACGGATCGAGTCTTTTTTACTTTTGCGACCTTATTTGTTATGAATCTCGGCTAAGTGGGAGTCTCTGCTGAGCTTCTCCATGGAGTGTTGTTGAACTCGAAAAACTTAGAAGAATTCGATATCAATTGATTTTCCAGTAATGGAAAAGTCCAGCCAAGTCTCTTTTGCTGAGTACTGCCGATTGCACCGAGTTTTTTTTCTTTCTTTTTTTTTGCGAAAGGATTTCACCGAGTTGTTATTGTGCATTAGAGTACCGTTCTTGGGTGTCCTTGGGCAGCCATGACTTGTGATGGACGTCGATATTACTCCCCGGGCAGTTCCATATATGGACGGACCACATTTACAACTCGACCGCCGTAGATGGAGGGGTCAACACCGGCCAGTCGGGTACGCGGTAGATTTTATGGCCGAGGAGGACAACTGTCCCGAGGATTTTGTGGGGTACACTGACGAGGTTACAAATGACTGACTCCCATCACAATTGGTCCTACGTGCATGCATCAATCTCTGCACACGCACGCCTAACGCTCACCGTCTACTATACTGGAGCTCCAAGCGTATGCGGATCACCGACGGGCAAGCGCTGGGGGAGGAGGTGGCCGGCGTGCTGCGGCAGGCGGTGAGCCTGGCGGCGCGGTGGGGGCACGCGCAGGTGACCCCGCTCCACATCGCCCGCTCTATTCTCTCGGCGCCGGCGAGCATCCTCCGCGGCGCCTGTGTCAGGTCCCAGTCCCACCCTATGCAGCACAACGCGCTCGACCTCTGCCTAGACCTCGCGCTCGGCAGCCTCGCCGTGACCACCGCGGTCCACAACAGTGTCGACCCGGCGGCGTCGAACGCGTGCGTGGCCGCGCTGAAGCGGGCGCAGGCGCACCAGCCCAGGGGCAGGAGCGCGGCCAAGGTCGAGCTCGAGAAGCTCGTCGTCTCCATCCTCGACGACCCGAGAGTCGACCGCGTCATGCGCGCGGCCGGCTTCTCGAGCTCCCAGGTCAGGGCCATCGTCGAGAGCGCTGTCACTTCGTCGAAGAGATCAAGATCAAGTACGGCAGGTTGCGACGTCCTCGCGACATGTCCAGCTCCGGTTTCGGACATGATTAGGGCTGGACAAGACAGAAGGTATTGCTTGTTTCACATAATGGCGTCCAGTGTTTATCTGCCTGACCTCTTCTTTTTGTTGGATGAGTTTCCTCTCTGCTTACAGTACCTACCTAGATAGCTACAGCATGGTGCCCAGTGACGGTGCCAGGAGTCAGACCTAGTAATGCCAAGGCTATAACACTTATGCATATATGTAGATAAACTATAGTTAATCGAAAGCCTAGTAGTGCGGCTAACCCAATTTTTATGATGTCACTTAACATCGCAAACAGTGAGTAACATACTGATTGTGCCGGCTGGTGACGCCAAATGTTTCTTTTAGCTACTTAGTGATGCTTGACCAGAAGGTATGAAAATATTGCTTTTTCATAAATTATAAAAATAAAAATAAGCAGACATTCAGGTATTGCATATACATACATACATACATACATACATACATACATACATACATGTGGGCTTGACCCCTGCCTTCGACGCATGCATCGTTGCACGGAAAGTAGCTAAGTAGTACTAGACTTTCTCTAGTTAAAAAGGAGCTAAAACAGGTAAAATGGCTGAGCTGAAACAGGGCAAGCCATAAAGTAACTTAGGCACAAAGTCACTTAGACATTTGACATCGGCTCGTGCGTACTCAAGTCGGTTTTGTAGCGGAAATCCCTTTTGGTGACCGAGCTCCAATGAGGCCTCCAAATTCAGAATTCAAATTTCATGAAAACTCATATTTTTACATTTCCAAAAATTCTGAAAAAAATCACAGATATATATGAAGGCATAACACACACGTGTGTAAATTTTCAGGGCAAAATACGTTGAAATGAGGGCTGTGCAAAAAAGACAAATCTGAGGCTGTTTAACACATGATACTATTCATTCTCTCAGGCCATGAATTTGTCTTTTTTGTACAGGTCACAATTCAAGGTATTTCATCATGAATTTTTACACACATGTAGGTTACATCCTTACATATACGCATATTTTTTTTCAGAATTTTTTGAAACATAAAAAATTGAATTTGAATTTTTCAAAAATAAAGGGCTCCATGGAGCTCGGCCTCCAAAACGCCATTCTCGTTTTGTAGGTGCTATATAAGGGAACTACTCCTCCCGTTGTAAATTACTCCATCCAGTGCAAAGCAGTGAACCAGTACTACACCACTCTCTCAAGTGTGTCCGTGAGCTAGCTTTAGTACAAGCCAGAAGTACTAGTGCAGTTTAGCTACTAGTTGGAATATACTAGTGACACTCCAGTTCATCTAGGATGTGCATGTATTGTAGCTTGCGCTAGCTGTAGTCTAGATCGCCATTCCTCTACTTCGTCAGATCCTCGATAGCTTACTGGTCGGTAGTTTGGGCTAATAATTGACGTCAGAGCCTCATTCCAGTGGCCATGTCAGGCGATGGAAAGAAGCGCTCCACCTCCGGTGGTTCCAAGATGCTGCCAGAGCAGCAGCTGCGGACGGCGGTGGACGGTTCCAAGGCGCTGCCTGAGCAGCAGCCACGGACCATGGGCCCAGTGGTGGCGCCAAGAGTCAGACTAAGTAATGCCAAATCCATAATACTTATGCATATAGATAAACTATAGTTAATCACAAGCCTATTAATGCGGCTAGCCCAAATTTTATGATGTCGCGTGACGTCGCACACTGGTAGTGCCGGACGGTGATGCCAAATGTTTTTTTAGCCAATTAGTCTGACGATGATGATGATGATGGTAATGATGATGGTAATGATGATGATATTAATAGCATTATTTTCACTTTTCGTTTATAAGTATATTCCTATATTGTTGAAAACTTCAATTGCACACACTTTGTATAAAATCGGCGATATACCTAGCCGTAAACCATTAGGAGGGCTGGGTCATTAGGATTAACATCTTTAGACCCAAAAAAGTAGTATTATTTCTTTTGATTTTCTTGAGGCTGAATTGGGCTAGAACATGGACTTGAGGCCTCCTAAACCACCTCTTAAAAAATCATGCATATATGAACTAAGATACTTACTCCATTCTAAAATATAGTGCACATAGTTTATTTTTTAAACTCAAGCTTTATCAAGTTCAGTTTTATAAGAAACCAATGTCCATGCTCCGCCTCTCCCACGTGACACATTTCGATTCACATGTCTCTGCCTTTTCATCTGCCTCCATTGCATGCCAAGAAAATGAGTAACATGGATGTCAACCATTTCATTTGCATGCAAAGAAAAACTTGCATTCAAAAGAACCACATCACCTTACTAAAAGCTGATTTTTTTATATAAAATATTTCGTAGCTTGAACTATTTTTCTGGTTGATAATTGGTTTTTACTATCAACATCATATCAGCTAGGGCTACCAAACAAGATCAAAGTAACTTGGGTATGTTCTTAATATTTTGTTTGCCCTCTTTTGTTACCACATAATAACACGTGAGTTACCGTTCTATTTAGTCTACAAGATACAGTTGCGATTTCTTAAACTATTGACTGGTAACTTACATTTTAACAAACGAAATTGGACTCTTTTGTTTGGGCATAAAAGTACTCCAATCTCCAGGCTATATGTTACAAGTTATGACGTAGTAGTAACTTCGGTACCAGTAAGGTGGCATCATTGGTGGTCCTAACTAGAAATTATCAGAACATACACATAGAGTCCACACCAAATAAGTATCGTTAGGCCGTGCTTCATGGTGTGTACTAAGAGTGCCGCATAGGCAAAAAAGTGATGTGGCAAAGCAATTAAAGAGGAGTGAGAGAGCATTACGGTGACCCCTAGGAAGAATGGTGCTAAGCGCGTGGACCTATTTAAAATGACTACCAACCAATGCATGAAGGAGTTTAATTGTTAAACGATTCCATGAGGGAAGCTTAACTACAAAAGCTAAGGACCCACGCATCGAGGAGACTAGTTGCTAAGATTTTTAATGCACTTAGCATCTCATCTACGCATCCATGCATTGGAAAAGGCCTATATACGCCATGAAATACAATATGTTTTTACATGTATTTATTGGTAATTACTGATGATGATTTTTTTTCCTCTATGAACTTGCCATGTAAGTAAAGTATGTCATTTGGCAACAAAATTGGCCACCAAATTTTCCAGTGTATGTGCATGCTTCACTATGTTGATATTTCCAAGAAATTTGCTTAAAGTAAACATCTAGACATGTACGCTAATAATATTCCCGGTGTTTCTATTGCAGTGAGTGCCAAGCTAGCAATGCAAAAACAGGAGCAGGAGGGCGACCGACCATCTTTGGCGCATCGACGGCGAGCATTCCTCCGTGGCTCCGCCGCTACAAAGATACAACTTGCGTCAGGTCAACATACTGCGGCGCCAGTCTTCAGGCAGACGTACGTATAACACATCTTGTATGTGATTTCACTCGTGAAGTGGTGAACCGATTAGTTAATTGCCCGGCCGTGAGTGTCTGACTCATGCATGCAGGCTGCTTGCCGCCGGCCGAAGTTCACGGAGCTCACCGCGACAAATCTCAATATCCTCTGCAACGCGCTCCAGCTGCGCGTTCCGCGTCACGGGAACATCATCCCCGGCATATCGTGCACGGTGCTCCGGTGCAGATCCGGCGTGACGAGGACTATTCCTAGCTCGTTGTCCTCGACGAAAGCGACCTGCCTGCTCTTCCTAGGAGGGGACTATGGCGGCAAGGTGGCAGTCGCTCAGGAGCTCGCGAGGCTCGTGTTTGGCTCATACGCCGAGTTCACCACGGTCCAGCTTCAGGGTAGCCCTAACATTCGCACACACAACGGCAAGCTCGCCCTCAAGAGGCAGAGATCACCGGACAATGACGGCGACCTCGAAGAGAGGCTGTTTGAAGCGGTCGTGGAGAACCCTCACCGCGTTATATTGATGGACGGCGTCCACCTCCAGGATCGCGATTTGGAGATGCACATCATGGGGGGAGGAATGGTGAGGGGATGCAACGGTGATGTGGTCAGCCTGGAGGATGCCATCATAGTGCTGAGCGCCTCTGACGTCTTGGACTCGAGGAGGTACGTGGCTTCACCTTCCTCTCCACGGGCGAAACGACGGTTTGGTGGACAGAACCGTGAGAAAGGTGATGACGGCACGGAGATGAAGCGTCGTCATGGCTGTGATTTGAATGTTTGTGCAGTGGTTGAGGAAGAGGAGGAAGATAGTTTGGCTGATGACGAGGGGATCCAGAATGTCGTGGATGGTGTTTTCCTTTTCAATTAGCAGAGATTTTTCTTGTTCATACCATTATAGGTATTTCGAACGATTTTGAACTGTTAGATTCCGCATTCAGAATTTGTTTTGTGTTTTATTAGAATTATTAAGCAGAACTGTTTTTCGCTCCCGTTGTCATTTCAGAAAACCATTTTATGAGAAGAACTAGAAAGTTTATTTTGGCTGAATGTTGGTCGGAAATAACTTTATACTTCCCCCGTAACTGAATATAAGACACTATCCTACTGTTAAAAATGTCTTATATTAAGTAACAAAGGTAGTGAGAATTTGCAAGATATAATAAAAAATACATATTTTCCTTGAAGAGCTGAAAATTTACTAACCTGGGAGAGAGAGGGAGAGGGATGGGCGAATTGTCGCTTCTAAATCTCGCTTCATTGAATCTCCTGCTCCAAGTAATAATTTCCAGGCGACAAGACACAGTAGAACTGTGCACGGGATTCGTTTTGGGATAGAGAACAGCTATCCGCAGGCACGCACATTTACGAACATGCAGACTCACCTGGCCATGTACGAACATCAGTGCATAGAACATTGAATGTCTCTGTGTGCTCCAACTGTTTCGTGCATGCAACCATAGCACGCTATGGTACTATTTATTTGGCTGCACATGTGCACCTGCCATTTATTTAGTACTATTCTCTCCGTCTCCTAATATAAGAGCATTTTTAACACCTTACAGCCAGTAAAGTGTCAAAAATATTAGTGTAGTGGTAAAAATGTTTTTTAGTCTTAAAAACACTTTTATATTATGGCACGGAGGGAGTATATTTTCCGGAATTTTTTCTTCTTCTTCATTGACTGTAATACATGTTGGAAACTAGCTAAACTTAGAATTTGTAACCGTGCATGTTTAAAGCTACATACAACCAACTTCTGCAAGTGTCGCATGCATGCACCATAGCAGGCAACCATTAATCCACCACAAACACTCTAGCATTGTTGCATGTATACAGCTTAAAGTAGGCACCACCTAGAGTTGAAGAGCTTCTGCTGGTCTCAGAATTTAGCAGACAAAAGTATCAAGATGGTTGCTCGATGAGAAATGAATAGTGGATCCTGGTGTAGTGCCTCTCAAGGTCGAAAATTCAACTCATGCCTTGCACTTTATTTAATCCCTGATACAGCTACACAACATGGTATGAGATACCACTTGGAATAAGTGGTTAGCTATCTCAAAAACAATCACACAACATGGTACGAGATTGCACCCCAATACTGATCTATGATTTCAAAACAATTAACCGATTGTGTTGCCTATATGGCCATCACAGTTGCATGTGCACATGTGCGACCAAAATCTTAATTGTCTCTTAATTAATTATTCAAAATGTATAATACACTGATCTAAAATAAAAATATTTCTTATCCTTTAGGTCCTAAATGTAATTATTTTTAAACACCACACTTTAGCTCATGTTGTTTTTATCTAGCCTCAGTTTATCCCATAAAAATTTGAACCAATAGGTCTAGCATTTATTACATTTTACATTAAAATGATAAAATTATAGAAATGGGTGAAAAAACGAATATTCATTTCTGAGCTTAGGCTCATCTGCTCCCGAGGAACAGTTAAATCAAAAAAGATACTAGACAAATTCATAAAAATATGAAGAAAAAATTGCATGGAAAAGTTGGAGTGTGTGATGTCCGTGCCAAATTCCATCATGTTTGGACATCTGAGCAGCTCTCAACAAACAAACTCAGTCTAAACAGTGTGTGAAGAGTAAACGTTCTCACATCCCTCAAATTTGTCTTTTTACTGACAGTTGCTCTGATGTCCAACCATGATGGAATTTGGCACCGACATCAGGGATTCAACATCTTCAATGAAAAAAAAACAGATTTTTTCTAGTATTTGTTTTATTTTTCTATTCACCAACAGAAACAGATACACCTAAGAGCCAAAACATCGTGTCCATGAAAAAATTGTGAATTTGCATAGATCCTCTAATCCTTTGCAATGAAAAACTGTAAATTTATATTAAGTCTAATCTGTTAGACTTGCATTTAGGGAAATAGTATTAACCACCTCAAAGCTTAAGCTATTGGTACATCAAACTATTCAATTAGACTTAGATCTAATGCAAATAATTATGTGGCTATAATTGGACCAAATCACACTATTAGGGGAGAACAGGAAGGAAAACATGTAAAGAATACTAAATTATTATTGCACTAAAAATAAGTATAAACTAAGAAACAGAAATAAGAGTTGAAGAATAAAAATGCAAGAATAACCGAACTATTGCACATTAAAACACGAGCAGAGAAGAAGCACAAAATACACTTGATGTAGAATTGGATTACAAAAATTGCAAATAGAAATGGATTAAATTGGCAAGTAAAAGGATCTATGCAACAAATAAAAGACAATCAAATAGTCAAAAAAATGTGGTCATGTAGTCATTCCTGCACTAGTGTAACCAATGAAGCAGAAAAAAATCGCTATGGGAAGGGGTTACATCTATAAGTCGAATGTAGCGAAATCACTAATTAAGGAGTACTCTTTTCAAAGATCACTCCCACCTCCTCATGCGTGCCAGTTGTCGCAACTGGAGAGTTTTCCCTTTTTTCTACATCGGTTTATTCAAAACATTTTATCTTTTAAACCATGCATTCTCAAATCTCGAACCATTTTCACCATTGGATTTCTTGCGTCGAGATCTTCAAAACTAGATCCCATGTTGATAGGTTTTGACGAACTTTTTTTCATGAAAAACCGGACGAAAATCTGAACCAGCTGTTGGGAAACATTGCATGAAAAACAAAAAAAAATCTACGCACACGCAAGATTTATCAAGGAGATACATAGCAACAAGAGGGGAGAGTGTGTCTACGTACCCTCATAGACCTTAAGCGGAAGTGTTTAGTAATGTGGTTGATGTAGTCCAACTTCTTCGTGATCCAACCGATCGAGTACCGAACGTACGACACCTACGCGTTCAGCACACGTTCGGCTCGGTGACGTCCTCACCTTCTTGATTCAGCAAGACGGCGAAGTAGTGGATGAGTTCCGGCAGCACAATGGCGAGGTGACAGTGATGGTGAAGCTATCTCCGCAGGGCTTTGCCTAAGCACTGCTAAAATATGACCGAGGGACAAAACTGTGGAGGGGGGCGCCGCACATGGCTAAGAGATTGTCGTGGTTATGTGGGGTGCCCCCCTCGCACATATATATAGGTGGGGGAGAGGGGAGCAGCCAAAAGGCGCCCCAAATAGGGCCGAATCCCACTTGGGGTCCTCCCCAAGCCGCCCCCCTTTCCTTATTTGGTGAGCGAGGAAAAGCAGGGGATGGTGCCCCCCCCCCACCTTCCTTTTTCCCATCAGAAGGGGAAGGCGGGAGGGGCCAGCTATCCCCCCCTTTCCTTCCCAAGGGCCGGCGGCCAGGGAGAGGGGCGCGCCAGGCCCCTTGTGGGCTGGTCCATCCCCCCTTGGCCCATTAGGCTCATACACCTACCAGGGGTGTCCGGAACCCCTTTGGCAACCCGATGACTACCCAGTGCACTCTGAAACTCTTCCGGTGTGCGAATATCATTGTCCTATATATCAGTCTTTACCTCCGGACCATTCGTGATCTCATTTTCATGTCTGTGGTCTCATCTGGGACTCCGAACAACATTCGGTCACCAAATCATATAACTCATATAACATTATATAGTCAACGAACGTTAAGCATGCGGACCCTACGGGTTCGAGAACTATGTAGACATGACCGAGATACTTCTCCGGTCAATAACCAATAGCAGAACCTGGATGCCTATATTGGCTCCTACATATTCTACGAAGATCTTTATCGGTCGAACCTTATAACAACATAAGTAACTCCCTTCACTAGTGCAGAAAAGGGATATAATCCCGGTTCGTGAGGCCCCTTTAGTGCCGGTTCTAGAACCGGCACCAAAGGGTGGGGACTAAAGGTCCCCCCTTCCCCTTTAGTCCCGGTTCAGCACGAACCTGCACTAATGGTTGTCCACGTGGCACGAGCCCGTGCCGGGGGCTGGGAGACCTTTAGTCCCGGTTGGTAACACCAACCGGGACTAAAAGGTTTAGGGGTTTTTGTTTTTATGATTTATTTTTCCTTTTAATTTTTTCTTTTCCATTTAATTCTTTTTCATTTGAAACTTATTTTACGCTACTACATATTGTACATGTTATGCATATATATAAATAGAATTTCTTGTAGAACCTATCATATATATATCATCGACTTTCTCGCACGACCATTCACGCATATATATATATATATACACAAGTTGGTATATACAATTTCACCTACAATTTGCATGCAGATCATTACATGGAGGCATTACTTCGGTAGCAGGTAATAGAATTCTCATTTGGGATCTATGACCTGGTTGAGCAAAAATCCCGCTATTTCCTCTTGAATCGCTTGTACGTGATTCTCTGGTAGGAGCTGATCTCGCATGTTCTTCATCTTTAAAGAAGGAGATCAATATGCATGTATTACTTGTGTGTGTATTAGATAATGATGTAAAAGTTGTGAATAGTATTCTGAGAAACGTACCAATTGGTCTCTGTCAGGTTTGCTGCTTTCGCACGTCATCATGCGAATGTTCTCGCAAACATAGTACGCACATAAATCATTCCCCGGCGCCTGCTTTAGGGCCTTTAACTGAATAGAATTCAATCAGATAATAATTAATCAAGCATGCTAATTAATGATATTGAAACTAGAACTAAAGAGATGTTAGCTAGCTAGCTAGTACTACTTAATTAATTACCTTGGGTCGATACTAGTGAAGCTTTTGTTTCCATTGGCCATCAACCTGTTTGGTGAACTTTTCCCAAGTCCTACCCGCTGGCAAAGAAAATGAATAAAGGAGTTATTAATTAGTTAATATCATGAAATGACGAACTTAAAGAGGCCGACATATAGTTCGATAATGATTGGAATTACTTGTTGACCATCCCCTTGATGATTGCATAGTTAGTAACTTCTTTCAGTAGTGAGTCGAGTACTTCAA